CCAAGGGGGGGGGGTACCAGTTTGGGGGGGGGGGCTAAATAACGCGGGGCCCCTAAAAACCCCAGGGAACCCTCCGGGGAAAAAACAAAACCCCAAATTTCCCCCATTTTTTGAAAAGGGGGGGGGGGGTTTCCCGGGGCACACACTGCCATAATGGGCCCCCCCCCCCCCCCCCCCTTTTCGGGGGAAAACCCGGGGGCCCCCCCCCCCCTTTTTTGGGGAGGGGGGGTAAAGGTTTTAAGGTTTTGGGCAGCCCGGATTGGGGGTCCCCCCCCCCCCCCCCCCCCACTGCAAGCAAACGGCGGGCCTCACCCGAGGCCGAGGCCGCAACCCCCGCTCCCCTCAACAGCGCCAGCAGGCGAGCGGCGTGGACACCGGTCTCGTCCATGCAGTTAGCCCTGGCGAGCTCCAGCGCCCTGTCGAAGTCCCCCCGGGCCAACAACGCCTGCAGCCGGTGGCGCGGCACCGCCTCCTTGACGAGGTGGAAACCCGCCGTTCGGGAGGCGGGGTCGCTGACGTCGCGTCAGACCGCGGTGAAAGGAAGCGGGGAGGGAGGAGTGAACGCGAGTTTTTCAACGAGGACAGGGCAGGAGAAAGTACACCGGAAAACTGCACACAAGACACCAACCCCGGTGTGACGACGACGTCTTGGCTTCTAGAAAATGTTATCGCCAGGGGTGTGGTGGCTGCTGTACTCTACGTTTCCCTACTACTCGATCCGAGGGAACGTCTAGCTGACGGGCTCAGACCCCCCGGCGCTTCGCGCTCGATGATGTGAGAGCCTGGTCCGGTGAGAGCCCGGCGTGCTCCGTCCCGGCTTTGTACGGACGCGAGGTCAATTGTCTAACGACTGACTAAAATACGTCATGCACGGCTATTGTGTACCCCCCCCCCCTCACACACACACACACCTCGTGACCAGCAAGAACTGGTGCCGAGACGGGGACGGCACGGTAAGCATCCCCGCCCCCGCTGCAGGCGGTACCCGGTGCAGCTCCTCCGCTCCCCCCGCGCCCAGCCTCAGCACGCGGACCTCCCCCTCCCGGGAGACGCACGCCAAGCACGGCCGCCGGTCTTCGCCGTGGGAGTTGTTGTTGCCGCTGCCCCCCACGGGTGCGCGGCCGATGCCGCCGCCGTCGCCGGCGGCGACAAGGTTGGAAGCTAGCACGACAAAGTCGGTGACGTGGAACGGGGCGCCGTGGGGCCAGGACCAGCGGCCGAGGCGGAGCAGGGACCTAGAGTTCCACCAGGATAGGCCTCCCCTGTTTTGTGTTTTTTTACGGGAGGGGGGTGATACACACACAGGCGACGAAACCAGAATAAATCAGGGTGAGTGAGTGACAAGTGTTAAGGAAATGTACATGCTTCTTTTCTCGGGGGGGGGGTGTGCTACATACATAGACGACGAAACCAGAAGAAATCAGGGTGGGTGAGTGACAGATTTTTATGTAACATACTTCTATTTTTCGGGAGGGGGTGATACATACATAGACGACGACGCGATACAGGGTGGGTGAGTGGCAGATTTCTAGGTATGCATACATAGTCGACGAAACCGAAAAATCAGTGTGAGTGAGTGACATTTTTTTAGGAAACATGTGCATACATACAATCAAAATAGAGACTACCCCTTCGACATATAGCCACAGCAGTCGAAGGGGATGGGTTGAATTCCTTACATTGAATCGGGAAAAAAAACTGCTGGATTTACTGGGCGTATTCTTGAGTCTTGACAGATTTTTCAGTCCGGTGCTATCTTCGGCATGTGACCACTCACGAAGGCGAGAACGAGGGAGGCAAAAGAGGACCGCGGCATGGATGGACTACTTGCTGGTTTTGTTCCTTTTGGGTGGTTGCTCGAACAGCTGCTGCTGCGCACCATCAGTGCTCCCGTTGAAGGGACGGGGGCAAGGGGTTGGCGGGGGTGCCGTGAAGGGTAGATTGGAGGGTGTCGCGAGGGGGTTGAACAACAGCGGAGAACCTGGCGTCGTCTTCGCCTTTGATGGCGGCGGGAACCATGTTGTCATCGCACCAGGCACATTATACAATGAAGCACGAGTACAGGAATGCGGCCGCCGTCTCCGGTGTACGTCAACTATTATCACAACGTTTCCGTGGTTCCATGCATATCTGTCTGCCTTTCTTGCCCTTATGTCTCCATCCTCCCCCCCCCCCCCCCCCTCCCATGTCTGTCTTCACTCCAACCTTTCACGTCTCTCACGTCTTCTCGCTTTCTCCCTGACCACCGTCCCCCCTGTATATACCTCCGGTCGCACAAGGACCCTCACCCCCTCGGACCGATTTTCAAAGCTCGATTACTCCACGACGAAGAGGACACCAAAGCAGCCAAACGATGCATTGTCGGCATGCTCTCCACGAGACGGTTCTAAAACGGTATATATATCGTCAGCGCTTTCCGCTGCAGAGTAATCGAGCCTTGAAAAGCGGTCCAGGGGGGGTGGTATCTAAAGCAAACCAACCCACTTGCACGTTTCGTCACCTGTCGTCAACCGCGATTATCCAGCGGCCGTCCGCCGAGAGCTCCGCCGAAATAGCACCCCCCCCGCCGAAAAGCTCCCCCGCGGGGACCCCGTCAACCTTCACCAGCTTCCCCGCCGCCGCGGGCGCGCTCGGAGCACCTGCTTGTGCTGTCACAGCAGGCGAAACGGTGTGCCGGGGTGTCAAGAAGTGATTCGAACCAATCAAGACCAGAACGGGCCCGCCAAACACAACAGGATCCCGCACAGTCGAAACGATCGAAACGTTTCCTGGAAAAGCTCAGACGACGAGATGACGGTTTCCAATGTCCACCATTTCCGGCACATTGCCGCAAGAGCACCAATCGATCGATCGATATCGAGCCATGAAAACCGGACAAGGGAGACGGCAACTTTCACAAACGATGCACACACACCGCACGCACACCTACCTTCACCCCCATCGCTGCCGCCTTCGCCATCTTCACCCGCACCCCCCCCCCTCTCTTCCCACTCCTCAACTGCGGCCGCTCCAATCCCCCCGCCGCCACGACGAGGGTGCCTACCGACGCTACATCCGGGCCCCCGGGCCCAGACACTGACCCCCCCCCGCGACACCAAAAACACCCGGCTGCGCCCCCCCCGGAGGGTCTGCAAGCACGCCGTCCTAGGGAGTTTGTCTCGGGAGGAAGGCTCCGGAGACGAGGGGCAGGGGAGGGGCTCCTCGTCGCCGCTGGCGTCGGCGACGCTGACGCGGATGCCGGCCCTCAGCTTCTTGAGGGCGCCTACGTCCTGGGCCAAGCAGGCCGCCTGCGGCAATTATTTGTATTGTTGTTTGGTTAAACAGTGATTCTTCGCAAGTTTGGTTCCGTTCGAACCCGACACGATGTGTGAGGCACAATGTACTGAGTTACTTCTCTGCTGTCTTTTAACGCTGTAGGTTGCTCTGTTCAAACTAGAATGTGTGTGGCACGGTGCGCTGTATTGCGTCGTTTTGTATCTCAATAAGGAGCTCTGTTCGCATTGAAATATGTGTGTGGCGCGGCACTACTGCAGGCTGTGTATTGTATCGGGTCGTGGTCGTTCAACTCGAGATGCGTTCGTTGCGGAGGCTCACCAGTTTTTCGTGATTGTCGACAATTCTGTAACGAGGCTACAATTCAATTAGACCGTTACATCAATAAACCCCCATTCTATCTGCTCGACCAAGAAAATTTCCGTTGTTTGCTCGGTCTTTTCGTCAAGAAATATGCGTGGAAATCCGAAACCAGTCATATCACACACCGCGGCAAACCAACTAGTCTTCGAAAGACGAAGAAACAAAACACTCAGAAAGAGCGCTATGAGCGCTATTAGCGTCCGCCTAAACAGCATACAAATCTAGTTATTGCCCACCTCGATCGCTGCGATGGGAACGTTGGCGAAGTGGTAGAGTTGCATGGAGGCTGACAACGCCAGCAACTCCTGACCGCAGCCGTCCGCGGTTTCGCCCGCTGCTGCTGCCGCCGCCGCCGCCGCTCCCCCGGTATCGGTGGACGTTGCGAACTTGATGCAACTGAAAGCACGAGGGGATTTGACGGTCGTCTCACCCCCGGACTCGGGGTCGTCGCTGCCGCAAAAGAGAAGAGAACCACATGGGCGCGTGCGCAGACGAGGTCAGTGCTTGTGGTTGCCGGCCCCGCGAAGAGGAGCTTGTTGAAGTTGCTCGAACGGCGTTTTTAAGGGGGTCAGGTAAATGCTGCTGTAGGCTTCTTCGTGTTGTACGTGCGCGGTGCGGTGGACGTTGCTATATGTACAGCATATCCACGTATGCTAACAAGTCAGCGTTGACTTGAGTCAGTGCTGGCTTGTGGGTAGATGTACAGCATATCCACTCACGCTACAAGTCAGTGCTGACTTGTAGCATGGTGGGTATGCTGTACATCCAACAAACGGTTTAACCGGGGTTGGCGTGTATGATATCGCAGGAGTAGGAGAAATCATCCTGATCAAGGAACGCCTGCAGGACTGGTGGGCGAAATAGAGCCTTCGGCGACCTGCTTGCCAGTTCGCGCGTTCCCCTACTCCTGCTACTGCAGTGCTGCTACTGCAGTGCTTCTATTGCAGTGTCTACACCGTGCTGAATCGACTGCCAGCTCACCAGCTTCTCCTGCTCCCGCTATGCGAATGCTGTGGCCGCTGTTCCACAGCAGTGTCCACCACATCGTGTTAAATCGACAACAAACACCAAGCGTGGATTCCCCCATCAGCTCGCCTGCTACAGCTACTGCTGCTGCCGCTACCACTGTTGCACAGCAGTGTCCACATCGCGGAAAATCGACAGCCGTGGATGTCCCATCGCCATCAGCTCACCTGCTACTGCCGTCTCGAGCCAGGTTGGTCAGGAGTGGCTGGGAGAAGATAAGCGTGCCCTCAGCGGTGACGAAGTGAAGTCTACCCGACGCGTCGCCGACCACCACGCAAGACGCCGTAGAGTTCCACGCCCCGCACTCCGCCGGGTGCCCGAGCTCCAGAGACACGGACGACGACTCGCCTGCGGCCGCAGTAGCGCCTGCTGTGGAGGCGGTGGGGGCAGAGGTTGGGATAGTAAATACAGTCGCCCTTTGTATCTCTTCTCGCCTCCTCCAAAGCAGAAACGGCGTGCGATGAGACAAGGTGTTCCCATCGACCAGGGCAAACTTATGTAGCAAACACAAATAGCGGCTGGGGGGGTGGGGGGGGGGGGGAGGGCACGCTGCTGTAATATTCTCGGTGAGAGCCTCCTCGGAGGGAGAAAGGGGTGATCTTTGAGCCTGAAAGAGCGCTTTTACAGCGGCAGGTCCTTGGGATGGCGCTCATCGTCGTCTGCACAGGGGGAGATACTGTACGAGACAGGCATTCGAGACGTACGTTATTTGTAGGACCATGCTAGCACCTGCTCGCCCAGAAAGGGGGTGCGATGAGGTACCAGGCTCGCAGCAGAACCACGCACAACTCCATGTTGTAGAGAGTGCCGCGGTCCGCGTCCACTGAATACGCGACGGGGCTTCATCAATGCATATCAACTGCGATGGTGTTGTAGCGGTCGGTGCGACAGCAACTCCAATCGCTGCCGCTGACGAACGTTTTATGGGGGGGGCAAAGGTCTAGTTCATAGTGCCCGTTCTGGGTAATCAAGGCTGCGATCATGGAACACATCCGTGTCAGCTGGACCAGTACGGCCGGTGCTGAGCGGAGATGGAAACCGTTAATGTGAAGACCACAACAACAACCGACACCGGCTTGTCTTGGTCCGAGCTCGCGAGCGTGTTCCTGCGCTTGTGGTACGAGCGCGCGAGCGTGTTCGGGATGTGTATATCGTGATTATCTTGTTACCGCAACTGCTCAGTGCCGTTTCACACAGCTATTGCTTCCAAGTTTCCAATTTTTCGGTGTGAATCGTTTCCAAATCTCCAAAACAAACGAAATCCTCGGCCTCAAATCGACGTTCTACGTGTGGTCTACGGACGAAGTTGGATTTTTTTTGGAAGAAGAAAAAATAGCTGCTGTAATAAAACGACCCTCACCCTCCCCGCTGCTGCTGCCGCCGACCTCCTCGGCGCCTGCATGAAAGAAGGTAAAGATGTGGACCACCTCGCCGCGAAGGGCGCAAACGCGGTCGAACCCGACCCCCTCTCCCCCCTCCTCCGCCGTTGTGCCGCTGCTGGAGCATACGAAGTCGAAAGCTGACAACGAGGAGCAGTGCTCTCTTCTTGTGCCCTGCTGCTGCCGAGTGTTGTTGTTGTTGTTGTTGTTGTCCATTGGGGCCTCAAACAGTAGGTCCAGGTGGTAGCTGCCGTTGCCGCTGCTGCCCGCCGCTGGCGCCTCTCCCCCGCGGCCCGATTTTCTGGCGAGGCGGAAAAAGTGGGGCGGAAGTGGCGCATCGGAAGAGGTGCATTGCAGCATCGGACGGGGTTAAGGCAACGGCGGTACTATCTATCGGTGGTGGCATTTTTTTTGCGGATGCGGCAAGTCACAGAACTCTGCATTCTTTTTCACATTTCAAAACTCAGGACTGGAGATTTCATGTCTAGTCTACAATAATCATGAGAGTTCTTGAGAGTGCGTGATGTGCCTCTTGTTCTCGACTGCGATGGCCTTGCGAACACATAACTTCCTGAGTAAGGCGCCGTACAGGTTGTCAGTGCTCTGTGAGGTGTCGCCTCTAGCCTATGAAGCCCCGGTCGCTGAAGCATGCATGGACTTTACAAGAAAGTGTGCGAGACAATTCAAACCAGACGGTTTGTTGTTCTATCGTCGGCCCTGACTCAAACCAGATACCACGAACCTTCAAAGTACGTGGACAATGGTAGCGCGATATAGTATTCGTGGACTAGCAGGGAGCACTGGACATATCTGCCATGTGGTTTGCTGCTGGCTTGATCTTCGCGTGCTGGCAAGGTGCCAAGAGTCGACGGTTGGGGCATTACATATGTACACGGCTCCCGCAAGCAATCCTCCTTTCACCAATTAGATACACAATGCTTGTCTACTGTACCGAGACTCCCAGTGCGACCAAGCCCACACAAGCCAGTACGACCGACCCTGTCATGCATCGCACATACGCGTTGAGAACACACGTGAGAGAGTTCCCTCTAGGCGGCGTCAACGTCGCAACTGATAGCAAGTGTACACACACATACCCCGCACTGCTGGAAACAAAAAACGAACCACCCCACCTCGGCAGTGCATCATCTGCTGCAAGTGTCCGGACGCCTGCTTCCCCGGCACGATTGTACTCTCGTGGCCAAAGCCCTTCGTGGGCCATGGTGGATGGCTGGTCGCTACTACGCCTCCCTCTCACTCCCCCGTTGGCACGCCCGCGTCCCTCTCTGCTTGTAAGCAGCCGTTGGCTTGTTTTCACAGCACGAGCAGTCTTCAGTTTGCCGACGAGGCCACACAGCTGGTACCATTTGCAAACGGGGGCAAAGCCGGCAACCATCTGTCTATCCCCTCAGGTTCTCCAGCAGCCGCAGCTCTGCTGCTGTGCCGGCACTCTACGCCGAGCTCACAGCAGCACGACCATGGCTCGCCCGACAGCAACGGAATTCCGCAGGCGACGATCGCAAGATTCGGACGACAACCTGCAGCCACCCGTGCGAAGGAGTCGCAAGGTACATGCCAAAACGACAACACACGTATTTTTGAATTTTTTTCAAGCGTTTGAAAAATCCCCACGACAGGAGAGAAGCAAGCAGACGGTAGCGCGCCCAACAACGGCATCCTGCACCCAAGCATTGCCTGCTGTGTTGAACCCAGTGGGCGCTGTGCACTATTGGCGTGCCTCACTTGAAGTCCTCTCCTGTTTAGAGAGACTGCCGTGGGGAGTGGTAACTAAATTTTGTAGGCTACTGCTGTAAAGAGTCTTCCGTTGGTTACTTGTTTGAAAGCCGTCCTACGCCCCGGCGGACCACTCTCTCCAGCGGGCTGTTGGCTTTCGAGCTTACGAGCACAAGTCGGTTTTTCTCCTTCCCACTGCTGTGACAGACTTCAACACACGCACCCTTCCACTGCTTGTGATTGTATGCACCCCCTCTAAAAAGTCTATTCTACACACGTAGTCTACACTTTTACATGAGGACCAAGGGTGCGGGGGGGCTGATAACTTCGGACGGCCCGCAAGAGATGGCGGCCGGATGCGCGGTCGAGTTGGTTACACGTACAACATGTCCGTGTTGGAGACTGCTGCTGCTTGATGTTTGTACAAACACCGTCCTGCTTGTGGAGACGCGCACCAGAAAAACGTCCGTGAAAGACAATGTGCATTATGTGGCCGGGTTCGGGAGCGCGAATTTGAGTCCCGAGTCCCGAGCTGCAGTTTGGCGCCGCATGATGGTGTTGGACGTTAAATACCACCCCCCCTCGCGCAAGGGAGAAGTGCTTCACGGACCGAACAACTATTTTACACCGGTTGTGCTTGCTGTAGCCATGTCGGAGATCTCTTGACAAGGTGAAGGTTTCGCTGCTGCTGCTGGTAGACAGGCACGGCGCGATTCAAACCTGTACACTCTCCTATTTATATCATGTGTTATCGCTGTGCAGGATCAGGGAAGATATTGCATTGTCATGGGAAAGGATGGGAGAAGTTGATGTGCAATCGCGTAAATAGCCACTTGCTGTCGGCGTGTGGTTAGTGCCACGCAGTAGATACTAGCGCCCCAACCGGCGGCAGTTGCAGCTCTTTTGCTGGCCTCTGCTGGTACATGTGCCGTGGCGCACTGCCGGCGCTGTGTTGGACGCCTGCTGCCTGCGATCCTCTTTGTTCGCCCACAACCGTTGTTGTCTCTCCGCCCCCCCCCCCCCCCCGCGGAAAACACCGCAGCCGCCGCACCCCGACCACAAGGACCCCCC